TCTGTAGGTTCCAGGGTGGCAGCTGTGGGCGAGTGCCCGTGCTTGCCGAGAGCGTAAAAACCGTAACGATCCGGTACTCAAAAGCGTGCAATATAATGGCTTACACGGCAACAAAGTTGCAACATCAAAATATCAACATTATATGAATGCCACTACCGAATGCTTAGACTCTTCGAATCTGTACGCAGGGCAAAATGCGGCCTCAATCTAGCAGTGAACAACACATTAGCCAAACAGGAGACATCACATCTGTGGAGCAAACATATAAGCGATAAAGCAGTCTAATGTTCGAACTCTGTTTAGCCCTTAAGTCAACGAGAAATTATAAATTTGACGAGAAAGCCAACTTTGCGCACTGTTTGATAAATGCTCTACTGGTAAAAAAATAAGACGAAAACGATTTAACACTAGTCTAGTACAAAGCAAAACAGCGGATACAACTGCACCGACTGGAATTTTACAGAAGACATCCTTAGTCGCGGCAACAACTTTTTCCGTGAATGCGGAAAATAAAGCAACGAATCAGACTCTTCTTAGCGAATGATGCCTGTTGCTCAATTTACTAGACAGATCAACAAATCGTACTGCAGAAGCACGTCCCATGTTCATTCGCATCGGCAACCGTGTACTCCCACAGTTCCAAGCATCGAAACTCTGATCAGCAAGTTTTGTTATTTCAGTTTCTCTAACCTCGCTTTCAGTTCGGTCAATTCGTTAATAAGCGAAAAGTCTAAAAGTTAAATATTATAATTTACCTGAGTAACAAACAGACTAGTGCAACTAATATTTCACGGCCGCTGACTCAAATTATGCACCCCAATCAACAGAACTACTAAAAGTCGATTCAAAAAATGTTTTACGTACTTCACTGACCGTATATACATACATGAGAATCTGATAATTCTGAAGAAAATTTGTCTTCAGAGCAAAATGAGTTTTTCATGAATTCATCATAAGGTTGACCCATAAAATTGATTGTGAGTGCTCCTGTTGCAGTTAGTTCTCAGCGATCGACGCGCCAAGGTGACGATTAACGCAGTTGGCTGTTGGATCAGTAAGGTTTTCTTGGCTTTACCGTATATGTAACTGCTTTACCATGTTACGTCTATCAGCTTTAACGACTATATGGTATGCTGATGAGTGGCAAAATATTGCATCAGAGCGGAATTTTGTAGTATTCCGCTCGATAACTCTGGGAGCCTACGTTTGTTCCCATCATCTGTCTACTCTTTTGAGACCTTTTCTCTGATGTCAGCGTTTTTCAACTGATTAGTTTACTTTTGCGTGCTTGGGGGACCTTTCTTTAATTGCGGTGTCCCTTTTGCTGATTTAAACTAGACCACATAACCGATTGTACATCAAATTTTGCTTCTGTTCTTCTGGGGTCTTGGTTTTCAGGTTAGTGAGGAAAAGTACTAAGTTTGAATACAATGTTCAGACTGGTCGGTAGTCATAGTGTGTCACCCACTGATAATCGCGCTGCCGAAAGTTCTACGATATATTTTTGTTTTCTTTGGAATCCTTTTTAACTCCACTGTTATCAGATTCCCAAGCCTGGATGAGATTGGAAGCAAATTAGGAACCTTGGAGAGGTCTTATGGCCACATACCCTTCATGGCATTTTCGCAGTTGCGTTTATGGGGTGGCTTCAAAGCCAAGGGCGTTCAATTCCTATTCGATCTGCAAAAACGCTAAAGGAGGGGCGGTTAAAGCAGTGACTAAAGCAATGACTGATTCCTCAGAGAAGTTCGATAGAGTGCTGAAGTCCGATTTTAAGACGGCAGAAAACTACTGTGGCAGACCATCCGCTGCCTTCGAGATAGAACGAAAGGCAATCTTAGAGTTTTGAAGGACAGGTCCGAACGTCTTCTTACCAAAGACGAGGATATACTTTGATAATGGAGAGAGTACCCTGAGAAACAACTTAACCGCGCGCAACCGCTGTGAGACTCTCCTAAAGATCAGCAAGCATAGGACATTAATTTTTCAATTAATGAAGTCATAAAGGTCATAAAAGGTTTGAAAGTGGCAAGGCTGCTGGAATGTATGAAATCCACCGTTGACGCCTAAAGCTATAGGCGAACACGGTATACTGTGGCGAACTCGTGTTTGTCAAACTGCAATGACTAAGGGGAAGACACCAGTGGACTGATGAACTGAAGCGGCAGGGCCCCTTGCTTAAGAAGGGAAATGGTAGAAGATGTTCAAATTATTGTGGCATTATCTTATTGAACCTCTTAAAAGAAGTTTACCCAAGGTGCAAAAAAATGTGCTGCGGAATGGTTGACTTCAAAATCTAAAAAGAGATGCATAGCCTCAGGTCAAGCGAAGCACCTCTGGCCAGATTTTCGCCATATGCGAGATTGCTAAGAAATTTTTGAAGTTTGTTCATCCAGTTAGATGTTCTTTATTGACTTGGAGGAAACTTATGACCTGGTTAAAAAGAACAAAATACGGGCATATCTACAGTTGCTGTGGATAGATGGCCAGTCGTTACGAGCCATCCAGTCACTATATGTTGACAGGAGGTGCTGCGTCAGAGTAGTTGACATTGGGTCGAGCCTCTTCAGCGTTGTCCCTAGTATGTTCCTGGGGTGCATTCTGACCCATCTCTTGTTTATGCTATACATAGATCATAGATGGGATAATCAGGCATTACCAGGGTGATGAGTATGCAAATGCGGGTTATTTGAAAACGAGAATTTTTTTCTTTACAGGCGACCTTGTTTCCTCGACATCTTCTGAAACTGATCTTTGATGTTCTCTGGAAAGGTTCACAATGGAATACGACGTGCCTGGCGTTCGTAAGAAGGTGTCTTAAGCCAAAAGCCTTATGCTTTTTCGGTCCCATGCATATTATGCTCTGCGGCTGAGCAACGGATGGGTCAAGTACACCAGGATCGTGTTTACTGGTGGTGTAAAATGCGAAGAAGAGGTTTATTCGTGAATTGCGGTGGAAAACGGCATTGTGCGTGAATTTTCCCGAACCATTGCGACTAAGGCAGAGTTGAGTTTTACGGCTAAACTATTTGAATTCAAAGCAATTTTCTCCCATGCTAACATATGTTCATGAACTGTGGGCTATGACTAAAAGGCTGCCATTCCTTCTACAAGCGGCTAAAATGGTTTTTATGAGATGAATCACTGGCCTCACGCGTCTCAAAAGAGTACGGTGTAGAGAAATCCGAGAGAGCGTTGGTGGGCAGTCGCTGCTTCTCTGTATTGGGAAGTGACTGCTGCGATGGTTTGAGTAAGTCTTAGGAATGTTTCCAGAAAGTTAGGCGAAAAGCAACTCATCTGGCTAAACACCTTCGGAACGGCCAAGAATGACCTTGAGCAAGTCTATCGACAGACTGTATTGATGAATTTAGTTCGGGTCTGCTTCTGTTTTCAAACTGAATACTCCGTCATCATTATCGATTGATTTGGCATCCTTTGTTTAAAGCAGAACAAGTCTCCCTTCACGACCTGCTGGGCTTTTTCATATCTGTTATTTTCCACAACTCCGCCGTCCCCGGTCCCAAGCCCGGACGAGAAACGAGGAAGGTTGGAGACCGTGGCAAGTCTCTGTAAAATTCAGCCACCTGCCACTCATGCTATTGACCCCATCGAAAATTATACCGGCTAGGTCGTCGTCCGGGCTGCCAAAGGCCCCGCAGGCTGTTGGGAGACTGAGACAGACTGCGAAAAGTCAGCGATCAGAATCTGCTCACTGCCCCCTGCCAGCCGCGGTCGTGGCAGCACAATGACGGCTGACGAAGACCAATGGAACGACGACGAAGATACCAGTCAGCAACGGAACCGCTGCCCCCTTCTGAACAGAGGAGCCAGACAGCGCGATGCCATTAT